GAATCGAAAAGCAAAAACAATTCTTTATTGAAAGGAACCAGAAAACTATTTTGAATAACTTTGTTGAAAAAAAACAATTAACTCAGGCACCTATTTATCAACTCCTCGTCATCACCTTATCATCAGATAAATTTAACCTGAAATTCTACAGTTTCAAAAAAATTTTTAAATTCATTCTACGTTTCCGAGTAATTTTTTCGAGTAACAACAGTAATTTTGCTGCCGATCAGTTCAGTTTCACAATTACAGTATGCTTCTAAGAATAGCAGCACAATTATAGAGTTTTAGCAGCACTATTACACTTTTAGCCTTTTGCAACCAGTTTTAACAACAGTTCCATTGTTCGTCCATCACGGAATTTGTCATACCGATAAACCTAACGAAAAGTTTTTCCAATAATAGCTGCATATTCTTTCGGTTACTTTGAGGTAACTAAAAAACTAAATTTGTTTGCTGCTCACTATTAGGACTTTCGTACCCCTGTTTTGATTTTTAACCTCAAATCCAAGAAATTTGTATTTTGTTAGAAAATTTGGTAAAAATTTTTTTTTAAATATATTTATATAGTTTTACTGGTGTATTCAAAGAAGCAAAAAAAAGTACTGTCTGCTTTTTTTATTTAGTTTTTGAGACATAGATTTACAGAAAAACTGTCAAGCATTCTGAACTCTGAGAGCAGATTTTTTACAAACTATAAACTTGTTTTGACAAAAACAAGCAGCCACAGTGTGCTAAATACATTTATTAGCGAAAAATTCAGTGAATACGGTAGATCAAAATGTATTTTAACTTGAACACTCAGAATTTTTTAAATTCATTTTTTTCTTTGTCTTGTGTTTATAAGCGTTTCTTTTATGAATTACAGCTTACTTCTTAAAGTAATAACCACTAATTTTTTTCAAATATGTAGTAAATGATAGCAGATTCTTGTAATAATTTTTAAGAACTGTTATTTATAATTATATCTACAACCAGCTTTTGATGCACAAAATCGATTCACAATTTTAAATTATTAGCTTTATTACTCAGAGGATGATAGCTTAACAACTTTCACTTTTAACCTTTATTTTTTTTTTTTGTTATTATTTCTAACTATCAATATTGACTATTCGAATACCTGAATATATAAGTACTTGTAAAGAACAGTTTAAAAGGTTGCCCTTTACTGAAGCAAAACTGATTAACAACTTCAAGTCAGAAGTTTTAATTATGACATTCACAAAACGACGAGACTATTTGACTGGACTAGAATCTATTTGTAAGGCATAAACTGCTAGCAGTAACAACTTATGCTGAGTTATTTTATTTTTTAAAAATCTTTGAATCTCTCTTAAATTTTCTTTGTTTCATTTACTGTAACTTTATATCAATGATTTCCGGTGTTCCAATGTTTGATCAAAGCTGTTTTGGCATTTGTAAAGTTAAGTGTATAGAACTAAAAACAAAAAGTATTTTCTATAATTTTGATTACCTCTGCTTTAGTTATCTTTCTTAAATTAAAAAAAAAAAAATGAGCAAAATTTTACAGGCAAGCTGTTGGTCTTGGAGTAGCAATGGTTATGCAACAGGCTAGCGCACTAGTTGGTGCTAAACCACAGTTTGATGTTGTTGCTTTAGAAGGCAAGGTACGAAAAGCTAAAGCTGAAGGTCGAACGGTTACTATGGTGAATGGATGTTTGTATTTTGACTATCAGTTAGTAGCCTATTTGCCTCCAAATGTAGACTTCCATGTATAGTACACTCCGCTGTTTTACCTGTTGTTCCACTTCTTCATATACAAAGATCTCCTTCTAAGCAGATAATTTATTTGGTGATCTGATGATGCTGAAATGCTGTTAATTTTTAACAAACAGCAACAATATTTTTTGTTTGATCCTGTCGATTACCAAAATTGTCTATAGCGGCAGCTTCTCCAGTCAAAAACTGATCTACAACTGCCTAGGATACCGGAATACAGAAAAAAGAAATTTACTGATATTTGTTAATGGTTTAAAGGTGAAAAAAATATTTTTAACTTTTTTGTAACAAATCTCTTTATTTGTTCTTTTTTTCTGCCTGTTTTTTTGTTTCATTTATTCTCGGTTATGAAACAACTATAGCGCTGATAAAACCTTGGAGTCTATTTACTGCAGTGTTTAATATTTCTTATTTGCAACTATCGTACTATCTAAAAATGGGGCTGTAATAGTTTTTATATTTAAGCCACTTGATTCTAACAAACGCATATCCCACAAATGCGTAAGTTTTTCATCGCTTTCCACCACTACCACCATCACCACCACCACCAACTTTTCCTCCTCCTCCTCCTCCCACTTTCGTTTCCTCTCTGAATTTGTCAAAGTTCCCCATTACTAGTTTTTTGAAGATAAAGAATTAAATATTCATAAAAAATATACACCACCTGAAGTAGTAAAATTATTTTAGTTTTTAAAGCCAGAAGCACGAAGGCCAACTATGTACCAATTAATTCCGACCAAAAACATAAATTTTCAAATTCAATAAAAGCAGACTAAAAAAAGACTCATAATTTTAATGTTATATTTTTTTATTAAATAAAAAAAAAGAAAAAAAGGAGCAATCTTTATTCACGCTCATCATTCTGATATTAGTATACATTTTATTTTGTTTTTGTTTGCCCCTTTTGTTATTCTGACGTCTGTGCTTAGAAACTATAAAATGAGTAATTAGAAAAGCCTATTCAGTGATATTTGTCATATGTGCTGGTATATATTATTAACGAGTCTTGTTTTTTTTTTCTGCTCTATATTGTTTTCTGTTAATTGTTAGTTGAAGTAATAAGCAAAGAAAGATGACATTGTTGGCAATGATGATAATGATGAAAAAAATCTAATGGACAATAGATGGAAGGAAATAAAGGATTAATGAAACTGTGATTTACATCAACCAAAGATCATCGCTAGAGAAACAGAAGAAAAATTTCACTTTTCTTCGCAAGCAGAGGAGTAACGAGGAGTAAAAATGAAGTTTATCAGATTTCATTATTTGTAAAAGCATTGTTTTCAGGCTGATTTTTTGTTTATCATAAAAAACCGGAAAAAAACAGAGTTTATTCAAAAGACATAGACGCTTAAACAACGTATATTTAACCTAAAAAACTACTCTGCAATAACAAGACTGTTGGAAACTAAAGCAGAAAAAAAAA